ACTAAGGATGTCACCTTTGTCGGTGAACTCTGAGGTAACTCGAGAGGCTGACACAGGACCGGCAGAGCCGTCCACAGATGTTGCACGTGTGGAGGGCTACATCTAGTGCGGGAGGGGCGTCAGCAGCGTCTTCCCGGCGCTGGCGCTTGTCTGTCTTGGTATGAAGTTGGGCTAACTCGAAAGTATTGACACGTCGTTTGGTGCTCCTCCAAGCGTTACGGTGTGGAGTGATCGTCTCCCAGGTGAGGGGGTGGATTTGGCAATTTTTCAGGTTTGTCTTAAGACTATCCTTATACCTTTTCAGTTGTCCCCAAGCGTTACGTTTACCACGCATAAAGGACTGTAGAATAGCTGCTTTGGCAGTCTACTGTCGTCCATGCAGGTAACATGGCCAGTCCAACGTAGTTGTTCATGGATAATGGTAGCCTCGATGCTCCTACAGTTGGTGTCAGCGAGAATACTGGAATTTGTTCTCTTGTCTTCCCAGCGAACTCGGAGGATGGAACGTAAACTACGTTGGTAAAAGTTTGTAAGTGCCTTGAGGTGCCTCCCGTATGTGCCTCACGCCTCACTGCCATATAGCAGGGTGGGGAGGACCATGGACCACTGCTCGATATACATGCAGCTTTGTAGACAACTTCAGCTCCCTACAGTTGAAGACACAGTTACGGAGTCTGCCAAAGGCTTGAGATGCACATCTGATCCGATGCTGAATCTCTTCATCGATGTTCGTGGTGGTGGACGTGGTGGGAGCCAAGTTACTGAAAGTCGCTAACATTAGAGAGGGTAGTACTGTTAAGCCAGGTGGATGGTGGAGGTGTGGCTGAACCAGAGGCTGAAGTGTGCATATGCATCTGCGTAGGTGTTAAGGATTTCCTGTAGGTCGTGTTCAGTGTTAGCAACGAGGGTGAGGTCGTCTGAATACTGAAGTTTAGTAATGGAAGCTGCCGACGCCTTTGTTCCTGCCTGGAATCGTCTTAAGTTGAAAAGTACCTTCATCCGGAACAGGATGTCCACCCCCCACCCAGCTAAATTGGCACTGGCACGAGTAAGGAAGGCAGCCAAGTAAATGGAAAGGAGAGTTGGTGCCAGTACATATCCTTGTTTTACCCCCGTTTGGATGGGGAAGAACTCAGATTGGGTGCCATGGTGCAGGACACTGCCATTCATGCCATCGTAGAGTTGCTTCACAATGGCGATGAATTTTGGTGGGCAGCCAAAACGGATGAGGGTCTGGCATTGGGCTTCCCTGTTGACCAAGTCGAAGGCCTAGTACGATCGATGAAGGCCTTGTAAAATTCTCGGTGTTGTTCTCTGCACTTTTCCTGTATCTGGAGGGCAGGAAAGATCATGTCAGTGGTGCGACGTAATGGTTTAAAGCCACATTGAGATTCTGAGACGAATTTTTCCGCCTCAGGAAGAAGTCTGTTTAAGACTCTGGTGATAATCTTGCCAGCTATGGACAGCAGTGAGATCTCGCGGTAGTTGATGCAGTCTGACCAGTCTTCCTTGTTCTTATAAATATTGACGATGGAGGCGTCTTTAAGGTCTTGGGGGATTTCCTCCTGTTCCCATATATTCTCCAGGAGAAAGTGGAAACAACTGGTAAGCAGAGGTGCTCCTGTTTTATACACCTCGGCTGGGATTCCATCGGGCCCTGTGGCTTTGTTATTTTTCATGTGCCTGATGGCAGTAGCTGCCTCATCATGGGATGGACGATAGCTGAGGTGGGTCAGCTCTGGGTGCTGAGGGACCTGCTGGGTAGTCAGGACATCTACATCGGTGTTTCGGTTGAGCAGGGAATGGTAGTGCCATGAGTAGTTTGGCACATAGGTCCCTTTAGTGGAATTGAAAAATTCGCACATCTGGTGTTGATCCGCAAATTTTTGCGTTTCACATTTTTTTTGTTTTTGCTTTTCCAAAGCACTGGCGTGATAAAGTCTTTCTCTTTGTCTGCCTCCACGGGCAGAGTGAGCGGCGGCGTTAATGGTGGATGATGTGCTCCTTTCGCAGGGCAAGGATACACGGAGTAGTGGTGGTAAAGAGATGCCTGCCTTAAGACTTCTCCACTACTTAAAAACACAATCGTAACAAAATATCTGTCTGAAAAAAATTATCAAAAAGGAAACGTTCGTGATCCAATTAATTCACTAAAATTACAACATAAACTGAACGTTAACCACAGTGTAAGAAACAGAGAGACTGACCTCCACACAGTACAGAGCGAGAGAGAAACACTAAAAGATAGACACAAAGAGGGAGAGACGCGGACACTGTAGGAGAGGAGAATCTTGGAGTGTAACACCAACCTCGAGGTGCTCGTGTTTCCTGAAGGACAGGTCCCGCTCGGTTCTGGCCTCGTAGTCATACAGCGCCACCACCATCCTGCCACTCGACAGCGCACACGCGCTCGAACACCCCGGCGACCCTGACGCCATCCTATAATACAGTATACAAAGGTAGTGTTATACACATTACTAGAAAATGTCTATAAATATCCTACTGTACACTATGCCCCTATACCATCCTATACCACAATATAGTATTTGGTTAATAATATACAGTACTAAGTCAGTACTGTATATCAGATGTTTTATATAGTTACACACTCCATGTATTATACCTATGCAAATAATATAAAAGAACATAATATTTATATATAAACGCCGTCTGACATGCTATACAGTATACACCTCAAGTACCTAAGCCACCATTCGGAGGAAAATACAGCCAAATACAACACAATGCACTGCAACACACACATAAATACATGTGAATATATAAATACATCACGCATACACTACATACTGCACATATAATACATACACTAACTATAAGCCAGCACCATTGATAAAGTATAGAGATACTGCCGAGTGTAAATACACCCCCAATCAACTGATATATATTCATTACCCCCCACCACCACACACACACAGAAAGAAAGAGAGAGGACTAACTTGTGGGTGTCGTAGTCCTCAGCGCTCCTCTTGGGTATCGTGGCCCGCTGGGTCTTCTCTACCACAGACTGGCTGCGTCGACTCCGTACACTGATGGTTTCACTTGTGTGTGGAACTGAATAATATCAATAATAATAATAAGAAGAATATCTATAATAGTGATAATAATAATAATAATAATAATAATAATAATAATAATAATAATAGTAATAGTAATAATAATAATAATAATAATAATAATAATAATAATAATAATAATAATAATAGTAATAATAATAATAATAATAATAATAATAATAATAATAATAATAATAATAGTTATAATAATAATAATAATAATAATAATAATAATAATAATAATAATAATAATAATAATAATAATAATAATAATAATAGTAATAGTAATAATATAAATAATAATAATAATAATAATAATAATAATAATAATAGTAATAATAATAGTAATAATAATAATAATAATAATAATAATAATATAAATAATAATAATAATAATAATAATAATAATAATAATAATAATAATAATAATAAGAATAATAATGAAATTAATAATAATAATAATAATAATAATAATAATAATAATAATAATAATAATAGTAATAATAATAATAATAATAATGATAATAATAATAATAATAATAATAATAATAATAGTAATAATAATAATAATAATAATAATAATAATAATAATAATAATAATAATAATAATAGTAATAATAATAGTAATAATAGTAATAATAATAATAATAATATATAAGTCGTCAACAGCAGCACTGACATGGCTGAGCCTTTCGAGTGCTGCCTGATAAAATTGTACTCATTTATCTCGAGACAATTTTTAAATAACCTTAAGAGTATCATCTGGCTTACACCTAGTATGGAGTTAGTACATACTGTTTTGTACACACTGAACAATTACCACGTTTTCACATATACAGTATTATCACCGTCTAACCTACATAGTACATACACAAGTGATCGCGGGCCCTTCGTGCCCTTGTGAAAGTTTTAACGCTCGTCACAGCGTACAGCGAATGAGGGTGCGCCAAGTCCGTAGACTTGCATCATTTTCCATCGTAAATAAAATTGCTAATTAATGCCTTCCTAAAGAAACCATCGACATGGGACCAGGTTTGTTCCACTCTATGAATTTTTTGCAATTTTTCCAGCAAGTTTGATGAAAAACGATTGTGCCGTTTCGGCTGCCCAGAACAGACAGACAGACAGACAGACAGACACACGCCTAGTCCTATAGTATATTAGATACGTAGGGCTTAAACTAACGCATTCATACACATAGTACCTACATAGGGCCTATACATTCACATACATGCACATACAGCCATAAGCACATACATACAGATACATACAAAAATACTGTAAATGCATTTTTTTTACGGGGAAGAGCCCACCAGGGCACGGGCCATCGAACCACAACGGAGCCTGGGGGTGAGGGGGGGGGGTAAAAGTAGAAATAAATTAAAAGTAGAAGAGAAAAAGACTATAGTAATCTACACCACGAAGATACCGGAAAACCAGCTTTTTTTAAGTGAGACAGATTGTATGAGCATGGAAACACAGAAGATGGCAGAGCATTCCACAGTTTGGCTGTGTGTGAGAAAAGAAGGCTGTATTATAACGGGTTATTCTAGTGTGACCGACAGCCACAGAGAAACGGTGGGCACCGCGGGCAAGACGAGTGCTACGAGCCCACGGCCTTGCTAGCTGTACACAGGATGCCGAATCCATAGAACATTGCCCGTTAAAGTACCTGTAAAAGAGAGTGAAGCACCATTGCGGCAAAGAGAAAGGGAAGCGAGATTATCAACTAAAGGAGGGGAGTAATAACACGAAATATACTGTACATACATAATAAACAATAAAGAGACGACAGACGATCTAAGCCCTCATAGATACATATTCACAAGCTCAAAAGTACGCACCACAAGCTAAGTACGCAGTCACATGGCCCATACATAGGTGTCATCTCACTTGGACGACTGTCTGTTTTAGGGTATTTTTTACTATCTTAGTTAAATGGTTAAGTTAGGTTAAGTTTGATTATGCTACATTAAATAGCATAAAACGAAGATCGTCTAAGCGGGATGTAATACATACATATGCTCAAACAGGTTCGAAAGTATTGTACGCACTTACGCTCATAAGTACACATTCACAGGCTCAAAAATGGGCTCTCGTGTTCTCATAAATATGTTTTCACAAGTCTCTATTAATAATTTTAGTAGGTAGTATTCTCTCACTATCTTGTCAGCAACATAACAACATAACGTTTCCAAGTGAGTTCATCTAACACATCTACCGGCGTCCACATTCCTCCGGATGACTCACTTCCCAGACAATGAAAAACTCGTCATTTCAATTGCTTGTAATGTTTAATGCATACATTTGAACATATAAAAAACCCACACATTTGTACTTATCTATTAAATACTGACACATAAGTATACACTTTCGAGTAATGGCATTGCAAAAGTAATAACGAAACACTGATTATGAAATTCAAAGTTCCCGGCAACTGTCTCGATCACACCCACCACTGTTAACATTATTCCTTCTTCCATGGACTATTACCATGAGCCTACAAAAATCTTGACAAAAACCGTGTATTTGTCCTCATGCGCTGATAGGTAGACTTTCCAGTTAGGGCTTTCGTAGGTTGCGGTTATGGAAACTATCGAAGATTTTAAAGTTTCCCGTCATTTCTATCGATCACATCCACCCCCTTGAGGATGACTCATTCGGACTGCCGGACACGCACTTCTCTGACTCACACCCCACAATTAGACGGTCCTGAATAGTTTGATAATTTAACGTTAAGCTATACCCTCAATAAAGATACGATAACGCATTTAAGCAACACACGAACCATTACGATACCCAAACACACAAACTCATACACAGCCCCCACTTGCGACAGTCTACCCAACCAAACACACCCATACACATACACCAACACACACACACACAACCCAACACTTTAGGTAAATTAAATACCTATCAAGTCCATCTAACTTTACCTTAACTTACTAGAAATTCTTGATGTTTTCACTTTCGGTAACAATGCGGATGCCGTGCTGCCAACTACGGATTAATATATTTTATATTATATGCGGTTCAATAACAAGTGGAAAAAAAGAAATTTTAAGTTTACCTTGTTCAAGCTATACTGAATGGTGGTGGTAGTTGTTGTTAATGGTGGTGGTAGTTGTTGTTAATGGTGGTGGTAGTTGTTGTTAATGGTGGTGGTAGTTGTTGTTAATGGTGGTGGTAGTTGTTGTTAATGGTAGTTGTTGTTAATGGTAATAAAAGTTGTTGTTATTGGTGGTATTTGTTGTTAATGTTGGCAGCTGTTGCTCATGGTGGTTTTGTTGTTAATGGTGGTAGTTGATGGCGAAGGTATGGCTATTGGGGGAGGCTGGAGGCCAATTTAAAAAAAAATAAAAAAATAAAAATTATGTTAATGGTGGTAGATGTTGTTCATAGTGGCAGTTGCTATTACTGTTCATGGTTATTATCATCATTATTGGTTGATGGCGATGTTGTTGGGAGTAATGGAGACTAAAGTGACGAGAGAGAGAGAGAGAGAGTGTGTGTGTGTGTGTTTTGTGTGTGTGTGTGTGTGTGATCTGTTTTACATTCAACTTTAAAGGTACCTGAAGCTGGGTATCTTGACAGATCATACCCCGAGTGGGCAACATTCAAGCAGCTCCTGAACTTTCTATGACCTTCCTGGAGATAAGAACAATGACATGGAAAATGTCACCAGGGGTCACCTTCACACACATTATATATACTTTTTTTTTTACAGATAAAATGTGTTGATACTACCGAGATAACATGTACTGACAGAGTATACAACATACAGTATTATGGTTCAGGGGTGAATGACGACGACAGGATTTTTAAATGTGAAGCTGAATACATTTATGGATGTTTGTGGTAGGCAGTGGAAATATTTTGCACAGGGTAGAGTCTCTGAGGTCACGCACCACATGGGAATATTAATTATTTCTTAGTTCTTTTCTCAGATAAGGGAATGAATGCATATACTCTGTAATCTATATTGATGTTGCTCTTCATAACTATTGCATATATGCCGATGCAGCAATACACATTTAACTCTTGCATGTGTTGATGTTCTAACACAACTCTTGCATATACAGTATGCTGTTGCAACACACAAAACTCTTGCATATATGTTGATGTTGCAACCAGGCTTGGGATCGAATACATTGTATAGTGAATACTAAATACGATTACTTCTTAAATTATGAATATTAATACCAATACTCAATTTTGTTAGTGTGTTGAATATATATATATATATATATATATATATATATATATATATATATATATATATATATATAAATATATATATATATATATAATCAACACCTCACCCGGCCAGGATCGAACCGACAGCCCGCAACTGTGACCGGGGAACGCTACCTCTAGACCACCAGGACACTAAAAGCAGTCCTAGACTCTGTTATATTTCACACAAAGCCTGTTCAACGAGCTTATGGCGCCGTGAACCTCTAATGGGGACTACCCGTATCACGTAGGTGGTCAGAGTAACGTTTTACCAAATCCGGACTGAGTGCTTTATTGGGCTAATGAAATATATATATAAATATATATATATATATATATATATATATATATATATATATATATATATATATATATATATATATATATTATTATATATTCAAAGTCGCATGTTATATGGACTAAAATGAAGTATATATACATATATATATATATATATATATATATATATATATATATATATATATATATATATATATATATGTGTGTGTGTGACAACAATGCAAATTTGAGTGCCCAGGAATCCTTCTGCATTCTAAACATTAAAGGTATGCTAATTTCGCGGGGGGGGGGGTGTATTTTGGGAGAGCCTGATGACATTGTGTCATTACTGAACAATTTGAGATATTACTCCTCTTTCATCCATCTACCTCAAAATGTCAGAAAATACCAAATTTTCTCCCCTGAAAATTTGAATATTTTTGTATGTTTTTGTTAATATTGGTTGAACTGGCTGTTTTCTCAACTAGATCCACCACCGGAGTGATATTCATATTGAAACGACCTTTATGAGGTATGGTCATGCTCCTGGTGGAAACACTCGAGGTATGTCACATGCCGGGTGGTTTATATGACACAATCAGTAAGAAAGTGGTTACATGAACGTGACCAAGAAGCATTTGAAGGTTGAAAAAGCAAAGGTGCTTGACACTTACGTGGTTTACTCTAGTCATTGGTCTTCAGGCAAGTGGCCGTGAAGTTGACATTTAGGATGTCCTTCCTCATGAATTGGCACCGGTGCCAACAGCCATGTCTGAAGATTTGAGGGACATGGTGATAGCCAAATCAAAAACTTCCCTAAAAAGCTGGTTCAGGTTGAAGTGTCGAGAAAAAAGACAAGTTCTACAGACGTCCGTGTAACAGATGGCTCAGCTTTACTTTGGGTGATCACATAGCCCGAAGAATGCACAGTCAAGAACTTCGTCGAAAACCTATGAGTCCGTATTGGAAAGACGTTAAAGAAAGGAAATGTCCATTTGGTATTTGATAGATATCATGATTATAGTACAAAGAACATTACTATAGGAGCAAGGTCAACTGGAGCTAGCAGAATACATCAGCTACGTATCAGTACTGAGCTACTTCCCCAGAAAATAACTTTGACGGTGACAGAAAACAAGGAACAACTCAATAACCTGATATTTTCAGATACTGCAAAAGTGACCGAAGTGACATGCCAACCACACATGAATATGCAGAAAACATAATGGTACAGTAGGTTGTGATGTGTGCTAGAGAAAAGATCAGCGTATCACTGATGACATTGATGGATTTGTGCTCTTGCTGTACTTCTACTACTAACATGAGGCCAATCTGCAGATTCTTGCGACACTGAAATCTCCAATCGTAGAAATCAGGGAAAGGATTGCCGTGGACATAGAAAAGATGGTTGCAAAACATGTGCAGAAAAAAATACGATATTTTACCGGTACATGTACTATCTGGGTGTGATACCGTAACCTCTTGCTTTGGAGTAAGAAAAGGAATGGTTGTAAAGGTGTTGAGATCTGGGCACTCTCTATCACTTCTGGGGCTAACTAACACTACTCTACAGGTGATGACCCAAGCTACTGCTTTCATGCCTGCTTGTTGTGGCTAAGTCGACTGCCACACAATGTCCGAGACGCAAGTAAAAGTTTGGGCAGCTAAAATGGGCATGGGGAGGAAGTTCACCAAAACGATCTTCCCTTCCGCCAACAAGCGAAGCATTCGTTGAAAATGTCAAGAAAGCACATCAGAAGGCCATTCTTTGGTGTTCCCTACAATTAAGATCCCAGGCCCCCAGGACTTCATCCAAAGGAATATGGGTGGAGAAAGAACAATATCACGAAAACGCTTGAGCCAGTGTCTCTACCAAGTGCTGTGGAACTTGCCCTGGAGGAAATCCTACGCCTGATAAGGTGTGGCTGCCAGAGAGCATGGAGTTCCATCAGTGCAAACTTAAAACGTACAATATTTTACTTACAACAATGGCTGCCAGAGTGCATGGAGTTCCATCAGTGCAAACTTAAAACGTACAATATTTTACTTACAACAATGGCTGCCGTAATGTAGGAATGGACATTATTAAGTGAACAACACAGGTGAAAAAATATAAATTTCACTAAAACAAAGGCAGCTACCGGTATTAATAAAATCGATTTTTTATTCATAATCTAAAATTTACTAATGAGGTTATCTCAGTGAAAAAAGGAATGAAGTTGATAGACAATGGGCAAATCTATGCTCTTTAATATTTATTGATACACCCTGTTTTGGGTTTTAGGATAAAAGTTATTACACAATCTCATTTTTTCCAAAACTCTTCATTATGATAACATAATAAAAACGAATCTGTAGTAAGTGTACAAAATAGATCCCGTATACCACAGGATAATGACACTCCACAAGTTAAAATAACCCAGCATACGTGAAAATACATGGCAGTGTGTTTTACCCAAAGACACACGCCAGGTTTAATTCTTTCTGCGCTAAAATCACAATTCTCCAGCTGCATTTGTAAAAGTATTAACAAATATTCATGATACACCTTAATTTCTTGTGAATATGAATACTTGTATTGATAAAATGTCTTAAATACTACATGCATATGAATACTTGAAAAGTCAACATTGACTATAATGAATACCGATTACAAATACACCAAGCCCAGTTGTGACACAACTTGCATATATGTCGAGGTTGCATCACACTCACATAAATGATGTCATGTACTAACACAGTCATTAGCTCACTCGCCTTTGGGTCGACTACAACCCAACAAAAAGATAACTCCTTTATCAAATGGTCCCAAGTAACGCATTTCCCCACCCGCACCTTATCTACCTGACGTGGTGGATTCTGGCTGTCCCTTCTTGAACCTTCAAGAGCTGCGGCCAAGTCTCGATCCAGATTCTCATAAAAATGATGTGATGAGTATTCCATGTAGCTACCTGATGGTGTTAAAATGGGAGGGTAGGGGGTGGGGAGATGGGAGGAAGTTTATATTTTATTTAAGTTTTTTTTTCAAACGCTCACACTAAACAAGAAAACGGCAACAGGTTTATGGACCCAAGTCAGGCTCCTCCGAAATAAAACCTAAAAGCTATATAAGTTTTTTTTTTACACATATTGACTTAACCCCAGGAGTACGACGAATTAACCCTAGAGTACGATGCCACCCCTGGAGTACGATATGATGACTTAACCCCCCAGAGTACAATTTCATCATATTTGAGGATACTGTCTGTCGTTTTCAAAGGATTAAGACATCGTAAGCATAAGATTAAGTTATTGAAGGTGTTTCAGCGTGAAGGTTAAAAATATAGTACAAATAAAAACAAGATGACATATTAAAATACGGTGCAGTATTTAACTGTCGGAAAATACATTTTACCTTACACTATCGATATTCTAAGACTTGGAGATCCCACTCACATTATAGCACACAAATTTATATTAACAAGTGTGCAAAAAGGTCCTTGGTTGCGTCAGGCCACATTTAAAATTACATACCGTATATCATGTGCAAAAAACATCCATCAGTGAGGTCAGGAAAGACATACACTGAGCTGACTGAATCCAGCCAAACATTACACAATGCCAACTGCCAGTGTCACCCTCTTATGTGGTGAGGGTAAAAGTTTGTCTTTTCATGCGAGTTTGGTGTCCAAAGTTTATCTTCACGTTACTGTGACTCCCTCAAGTGATGTCTTCTAATATGAAATCAACAACGTAAATTGATCTCGTCAATATATTTTAAGCACAATGTAAGAGTGCAGCGGCCAAGTGGATACAGCGCTCACCAGGACACACCTAGTCCACCAAGCTGTGAATGGGTACCTAATTTTACAGTTAGGAAGTAGAGGTGATCGGGTGCAGTGTCTTCCACCACCTCCTTGAGTACTGAAGACCCAATATTCAGTGTGCTCTTTCCGCAGTGCCCCTTACAGGTATTATGGTTCAATGGAACCCGATTTCATATACAACATGTGTATGACATACGTACGGTAGGGATAACAAAGGTGTTTGTGGACTCACCTTGTGGAGAGTCTCGTAGCACCTGGGTCGTCTCCTCCCCCACCGAAGTTTGGTGGTAGACATGTTCTCTGTCCTCTCCCCTCAGTTTCTTCCATATCCAGTTCAAAGACATGACTGTGGTGTTGTGGCTCGTAAGGCGGGATAGTGACGTAGGGTGGTGTAATGTATGTGGTGTGGTGCTGTGGGGTGGACGGATGATGGCGAAGAGTGAGTGTGGCCGTGATGTGTGTATGGTTGGTTGACTATATGTGGTTGAACAATGTGTTGTGGAAGGGTGGTTGGATCGTGTGGTGAGGTGAGGTGTGTGTGTGTGTGTGTGTGTGTGTGTGTGTGTGGATGGGTGTGGTAAGAGGAAGGATGATGGGGTACAAGTACACTAATTGACTACACCATCACCATACCGATGCAGAATACACACTGCTCCTTAATCTACACTGTTATGTCACACGACTTCCTCTGCTGGTAGAGAGAATATTAACTTATATACCCTTGTCTAGATACTGTACATTCGCCATTTTCAGATGATTGTCTTCAAATCAAATTCCGAAACATTTAAACTTTTCACATAGGGCTTAAAGCACTTCCAGGAGATAGGTTCTATAACATCAAGCTTCGCTTCCTGAAGGATGTTACTCCAACAAGAAAGATACGCCCTGGGCTGAGACTAAGAGCGGGTCCTTGACTCTGTTTGACAGTTAAACTCCTGGAGTCCTCGTCCTGGGCTTGGGACTTGAACAGCTCTTTGAAGGTAGTAGTGACGACCAAGTGACAAGTTCCGAACTGATACAGTTCCTGGCTACCAGGTTGACGACAGCAGTAATGCCCCTATGCTGTGAGAATGGCCGCTTGGGTGGGACTGAGGGTGAAGTGAGACACAACACCACTCTGCTATCAGCAGTGATAACAAGTTAAGACATTTATCAAAAGTTACTCACCCGTGTGGCAAGAATGCTGATAACGGTAACGCGTTGATTCGTTGGTTCGACGTGGTGACTGCATTATTACGAATGGGTGACTGAACGTGTCGAGACGTGATTGGACATTTTTTAGACATGTCTTGAAATAGTTGTCCGGAGTTGGATGTGATCAAGGCATGGCTGGACGTGGATAATTGGCGCGTTTAATCTAGTCATTGCCTTCAAATTTTCATATAAGACGCTACCCTTCATCTGATGACGTCTTCTTCACGGAAGGATTACACAGATCTCGGGTTAAGGCTGGTCCTAGGGTAGGGTCTCTGTCAATATTGTGTTTATCCAACCACAAGAGTTATTTGCAGGCCTGAGATCCAATTTTTCTTCTGTGGAGCACCATCTAATAATCTCTTCCCCCAGATCTCTTACTACTATCTGAACTTCATCTGACCAAAGCAGCTTCACCCAAACCTTTTCAAGTCTCCAACTACAACCTTTCTACCTCTTTCCGTTCTAAGGGAGGTGTATGCGCTTACTGCAACACACGTACGCCTATAACTCGACTCACGGATCTTGAATCTTCTCTTTATGATGTCATCTGGCTCAAAATATCAGTACCAACTATGACGATTTTTTCTTTGTTCCCTATACTGTTCTGCCAACTCTACCAACTATTTGGAACTCTTTGACAACCTCACTTCTTGCTATGAGTCCTTGTTATCCACACACACCAACACCGAGATCCTCTGCCAGTCAGCCAAAGATCCAGCGACCCCGCCCTGAGTCTCTTAATGGCAATTTTACCTGGCAATACTTGGTAAAGTAAGGTTGTATGTAAAGGTGATTGTGATTGGTGGATCTATTTTCGGCTGCATTACTGTCAGGATAAATATTAAACAATCCAAAGGTACAATTTTCAAAATAACAAACTATTCATTGTTATTTAAGATCATGAAAAGTTTCCAAAAGTTCGTATATTTGGTTAAATAATGTAGAAATTATATTAATGAATTGGCAACTCAACTACAAAGAGGAACGAGGACTGCCACAAGATTCTCAGATCAAATTTTCCTCATTATTTAAGCAAATATAAGAACATTTGGAAACTTCTCGTGATCTTAAATAACACTGAATAGTTTATGATAATAAAAATTGTACCTTTGGATTGTTTAATATTTATCCTGACAGTAATGCAGCCGAAAATAGATCCACCAATCACAATCACCTTTACATACAACCTTACTTTACCAAGTATTGCCAGGTAAAATTGCCATTAAGAGACTCAGGGTGGGGTCGCTGGATCTTTGGCTGACTGTACACTCGCACCAAAAAGTATCGGTGCAGGGTGTGATCGACGACTTCCGAAACGATACGTATACACTGTGATATGTCGGGAAGGTTGGTAAGTGTATCCTCATAACCCCCCCCCCCCTCCTATATGGTTAACAATCAGTGTGTTTGTTTCCTCTTTTCGGATTGTTGCTTTGTGTCGACTGATTGATGAGCGAGGGTTCGGTCTCGGTGAACGTGGGTATAAAACAAAGGCAATATGAAGCAGTAGAGATCTACACATGCCAGACGACATGGAAACCTCAGAGGGAACACGAGGAGCTATTATTGCCCTTCATAACGAAGGGTTCGGCGTCACAGATTAGCCAGCGGGTTGGTGTCCACAGGAACACAGCTGCAAGATGGATTCGACGATACCTCGAAACTGGTGCTACAGACGACAGGTTTCGGAGCGGCCGTCCACGCTGCACCACCCCTCAGGACGACCAGGTTGAGTGGTTTATTTGGTAGCATAAATTAATGTGGCAATATTCACAAGTATCACAAATAATTTTGTTAACAGGGAGCTCCTCATATTTCACACTGTCTATTCATCACTTCCCGACCTTATTTATAAGGGTTTGTTTCATTTGACCAGGGCTGCCAACATACGGCTGGAACAACTCGCCTTTCCCAATACCTATCGTCACTGGTCTCAAATTGTTCACACTACAGTATGCACCGATACTTTTTGTTGCGAGTGTACATCACAGAGAGTGGCTTGGCTTTGCAAGGGGTGACCCAGGTGGAGTTGATGCACTCTCTTTTTCCTTACTTAATGATCTGGAACAAATAATTAAACGCCCAACACGTGTTCCAGATCGACACGATCAACTTACTAATATTCGTGATCTTTGTTTTACCTCTAACCCTTCACACTGTTCATACTCAATCTCTGCCCCCTTAGAGCCTTCTGATCACAATCTTATTTCTATTAAATCAAACTGGGCACGACCACCTCCCCCACCCCCCTCTAAACATCAACTATGGCACTATCGGAGGGCAAGCTGGCAATCCATGCGAGAATTCTCCTCCGACTTTCCCTGGGATGAGTGTTACTTTTCCAATCGGGACGCCACGGTCTATGTTGACAGCATTGCTGGGGTTATACTCGGTAGTATGAGTGCATTTATTCCAACTTCTACCAAAAAGTTTCACATTACAATCATGGTTTGATCGCTCCTGTTCTCTTGCATGCAGGGAGAGAGATAGGGTGTATCAAGTTATGAAACTATCTCCTTCTCTTGTTACCCACTCCTGTTTCATTATTTAAAGGAATTGTTGTAGGGCCAAGCGGAGTTTTATTAAAAGAAAGACCGCTGTCCTGACTAACTCTTCTTCCAGTAAATCCTTCTCGTCCTTATCCCAAAACATCTGTAATAACTTCTGCACTCTCTCTTTTCCTCCTCTCTTCCGACCTGATTCCTTTATAGCCAACTCTCCCCTGACAAAGCCAATCTCTCTGGCACCTTATTCTTCTCTAACTCCACCTTAGACAATTCAAACTCCACCCCTCCTACTCCTGCTCCTCCCACTGAACCTATGCAATTTCCAATAATCTCCACTCATAGGGTTGCTCGTGTGTTATCCAGTTTGGATGCGAGTAAGGCGCATGGACCGGACGGAATACCCCCTTCGTGTTCTGAGGGAGTGTGCTGAAATTCTGGCCCTTGTGCTTGCTCGCCTCTTTCGTCTTTACCTCAAAGCCCAAACTTTTCCTTCTTTTTGGAAGCATGCCTCAGTTCAGCCCATCCCGAAGAAGGGCGACCATTCTAATCCCTCCAACTATCGCCCTAACTTCATCCCTCTCTAAGATTTTCGAAACTATTTTAAACTCTAATTCTCTCCGTCATTTTGAACGCTTTTCTCTTTTATTGGGTCACCAGTATGGCTTTCGCCAGGCGAGAACTACTGGTGATCTGCTCATCTCTTGCACCCATCTTTGGTCAACCTTTCTTAGGGATAATGGGGAAACTTTCGTCTTTGCTTTCTAAACTTCCCTCTTATGGTTTCTCTCCCTCATTTTGTTCTCTAATTTCTATCTTCATTGAGAACCGATCAATGACATTTGTCATCGAGGGATCGATATCTCGCTCTTTCTCTACCAATAGTGGTGTCCCACATCTTCCTTCTTTTTATAAATGATTTACTCCACACAACAACTAATTCTATCCACTCTTACACTGATGAGTCTATTTTTCACACTTCTTCACATTTTTCCCTCCCCCCTAACTCTAAAGCTAGATCTGTTTCTAGAGCTGGTATCGTTTCATCTATCAATGCGGATTTGTGCAGCATCTCCGAATGGGGAGGTAGAAACTTGGTTAAATTCAATAGTAATAAAACACAGTATTTATCAATTACATTATCCAAAACATAAGATCTCCCACCAATCACATTTCAGGACACACTCATTCTGCCTAATTCTAAAATAGATATGCTAGGCCTCACCATTTCCTCTAATATGTCATGGAAGTCACACATCCACAACATTGCTAAAGCTGCCTCCCGAAAGCTGGGAATGCTGTACAAATGCCGTAGCTACTTCTCTCCAGAGCAGTTGCTTCAAGTTTATAAGGGACTCATTCGTCCTGACTAATAGGAGTACTGCTCTCATATCTGGGGTGGCTCTTCTTCTGTCCAACTGTTAGATAGGGTGGAATCAAAGGCATTTCGTCTCATTAACTCCCCTCCTTTAGTTGATAAACTCTCTTCCCTTTCTCTTCGCCGGAATGTTGCTTCACTCTCTCTCTTTTACAGGTACCTTAACGAACAATGTTCGGTGGATTTGACTTCCTGTGTACCGCCGGCAAGGCAGTGGGCTCTTAACACTCGTCTTGCCCGCGGTGCCCACCGTTTCTTTATGGATGTCGGTCACACTAGATTAATCCGTTATAGTACATCCTTTTTTCCTCACACAGCCTAACTGTGGAATGCCCCGCCTTCTTCTGTGTTTCCATACTCATACAATCAGTCTCACTTAAAAAAGATGCTTTTCTGGCATCCTCGTGGTGTAGATTAATATAATCTTTTTCTTTTCTATTTTTAATTTCTTTTTACTCTTATTTTTCGCCCCTTCCCCAGGCCCCGTTGTGGGTCAATGACCTGTGCCCGGAGGAAAAATAAAATAAATAAATAAAAAATTGGTTGGCTGTTTTGTGCTAGGCTCTTAAATGTATTGAACTCTGGAAGAGGTTTCACCAACTTGTGTTACATTGCCATCGTCTTCCTGTTAGGCCCTAAACTAAAGAGATTGGATCACCTGTAGATTCGCCCTCAACTTATTCTACCTAAAGATTAAACACTTTAACGGTACCCGAGGGCAAATAAAACGCTTACTGCTAATCCTGCGAGATATTCATACCAGTTATATTCATCATCATCATCACCTTCATCAGCTCACATTAACACACTCCAGGATGAAAACCTCCCACAACCGTGTTCAATCTCTCCCGTCCACCTACACTGTAAGGTGTGTGTGTGTGTGTGTGTGCGCGCGCGCTAAGTGCCAAGAGCTCATATGGTAAACTTTACTATGCGGTACGGTACCTGGAAATCTGAGAGATGATGGCGGTCGAAATGGTTTTGAAGTTACATTAAGACTTTGCGATAACTTCAAACATTCTC